GAGCCACCATGCCGGCTGGATGTGCCCATCTTTGAGGGGACGTATGACTCAGCCGACCGCAGCAGGCACATGCCGTCTCTCTGGCCGTGCTCCTCCCTGCTTTAAATTCCTCCATGGCTCCTGTGGAGCCCTGGATGAAGCCCCTTGTGCCTGCCTGTCCTTAGGCCTCTGCCAGCTTCTCTCACCCTCCTCCTGCCCCCTCCAGCCTTGGGGGCCATCCCAGCCTTCCCCGCCGTGTTCATGTAACTTCCCCAGTCTGCAATGCCTCCCACTTCCTTCTTTGTCTGACTGGGCTATTTATTCATCTGGGCCCCAGCTATATTTGTTTCTGCTTACAGGAAACCTTCACCCCAGCCCTGTTCCCTGCCTCTGTCCCATGCTTGTGGTCTCCAGCGAGGAAGGCTTCTCTGAGCTTCAAAAGGCATTCTGGGTGCTCTAGTTGAAGGGCAGGTGGGTCGGGGGTGGAGACCCATCTTGGGAGCCTGCCCTTAACTGTGTGCACAAGTGGATCTCTAATTCCACGGTTGCCCCTCAAGATTCAGGGCTGGTTCCCTAGAAGTCAGGCTGAGGCTGTGTAGCTGGGCGCTGTGCCAAGCCAGACACCTCTTACTGTATGTGATACTCAACACTTAGGAGTCCCCACGTTATATGCGAGGAAACAGAGAGGGTAAGCCAGTGATCCAGGGTCACACAGCAAATGCTAACAGGCTGAGAGGTTTGGTCCCAGGGAGTCTAGCTACAGAGCAGCAATGCACACAGTCGGTGTCTGGCTTTCAGCCCAGAGTCTCCCATTCACTCATTAGCTGTGTGACCTCAAGGAGGTTTCTTATCCTCTCTGTGCCTCACAGGCTTTTTAACAAATTAAAATCCACAGAAGCCTTAATATACAGTGTGGCACAGCAATCACTCTGTGTTACCTCATATTATTTTTTCTTTTCTTGAGATGGGGTCTTGCTTGTTGGCCCAGCTGGGCTTTAACTCCTGGGCTTGAGTGATACTCCTGCATTGCCCTCCCGAGTAGCTGGAACTACTACAGGCACTTGTCACTGTGCCCGGTTAGCTTCTATTATTGTTTTTGAGATGGAGTCTTGTTCTGTTGCCCAGGCTGGAGTGCAGTGGTTCGATCTCTGCTCATTGCAACCTCTGCCTCCCTGGCTCAAGCGATTCTCCCATTTCAGGCTCCTGATGAAGCTGGAATTACAGGCGCCTGCCACCAGGCCCGGCTAATTTTTGTATTTTTAGTAGAGACAGGGTTTCATCATGTTGACCAGGCTGGTCTCGAACTCCTGACCTCAAACGATCTGTCTGCCTTGGCCTCCCAAAGTGCTGGGATTACAGGCGTGAGCCACCACACCCGGCCTATTCCTTCTTTTCCTCTGTAGCCTGAGCCACTTGGGTGTCTTCAAATCCCCGTTTTCCCCTCGCCCCCAGCTTTCATGCCTGCGGTTCCCTCATGGGCGCATGAGTTCTTCCACCATGTTTCTACCGACCTTTCCTGACCCCCACGGCTGGGTCAGGGCCCGGTGCAGTCCCCGACACGGCGCTGATGACCCAGTGATGGCACTGCCAGGTGACATGTCCCTCTGCCTGACCCCCACCCTGGGCACTGGGAGCCCCTCAAGGGCTGGGACCAGGTGGGTCTTGGTGACTGCTCCGTCCCAACGCCTGGCTTTGGGCCCTGCATGCAGCTGTTACTAAATGAGTATTTATTGAATGTGCAAAGACACGGACCCTCTGCGCCCCCCACACACAGCGAAAACAGGTTTCTACATTGTAAACACAACCTCCGTGTAGACCCCAACCCCCAAAAAGGCAAGACACCGGCGTAGCCAAACAGATTGGTCATTATTGTACATATAGCTGGAAGGGAGGGGTGGTCCCGGAGTGAGGACAGGGCTGCCCAATACTTGGGGGGAGGAAGGGACTCTTCTTCCAAATGGGCTTGTCCGGGAACCGGGGTCCCGGGGAGCTGGGCGCCTGGTCCACATGGACCCCCTCCACCTCCCCACATACAATGTGGAAGAAGGGCAGGAGTGAGAAATGCTAGGGGAGAAGGATCCTTTGGTCTGAGATGTGGAGGTGATCATAACAGTTCCCGCCCGCTGGCTGTTTTGTTGACTTTGGAGAGGCCTTCCCGGAACCCAGAGTCGGTCATTCTGGGGGCAGACAGCAAGGAGGCGTCCAGCGCTGCAGGGCAGCAGGC